GTGTGTGTTCGATTCCCACCTTACGCAATTTTTTTTTCAACTTATTAAAAACATGTTTGAAAAGCGACTCTGAGAACGCTACAAAAATTTATAAAATCACGTTTAATAATACTACTAGAGGTAACCTCCAAATCTTACATTAAACTTTAAACTAAAATACATCTTTTTTATCGGGATTTTTTATAATGAAAATTTAAATTTAAACTTTTGCTGCAGAGTTAACGGATATTTAGGGCACAGTAATTAAATGTTGCAAACTACTGAACGCTCAATTTAGGTCGTTGAAAGTTCCAACGTGTACTAGGCTGAGTTTCAATTAATACTTGCATTTTCCATTAAAATGCTTGTTTGGTTTGGACTTGGTTTGTTTGAAACTGGGCTGTTACGTATTCCAGTTCTGTATTGGAATACAAACTCAATAAATAGTTCAAATCATTTTTTAAAAGAGCTGACCTTTAACAGACTCTATTAAAAGTTTGTGTCAATTTAAGTTTCTAAAATATGTATTACAACTTCCTACAGTGAAATCACAATCAATCATCTTACTTTAACATTAACAAACGTCAAAAATCTGTCATACTCCATACAAAAACAGCGGTTATTGTCAAAGTTACGGTTAAAATAAGCTGGTGCAACTCAGCCTTAGAAATTCTAAGTAAATCTAAATATGTTTTGTTTATTTATACAATTAGACTCTAATAAACTTTCCTATAAGTAAATGATTTTCCAAAATAGTGTCCTCTTTAACTTATTTATTTAGGACTATTTAAAAGATAAACATAAGTAAAGGGGCTGAAACACTGTTTGTCTTAGAGCTAAGTGTCGCCTTAATTAAAGGCTAACACGGCGCGTAGCGTGGACTGAAGCAGTTAAATTAAATACAATTAAGTATAATTAGTGCTACTGATATACCAAAAACTATTTTGGGTTAATATTGGATTACAGACAGAAATACATTTGTGAAGTTCAGTGTCCCTAAAGTGGATAGATTTCGAAGAAAAGAAATTATAACCCTAAAATGAGTTTTCATTTTAAAAAGAAAATTACTTGTTGCATTGAAATAACTCATTTATGGCCAAGTGAAAAAAAGCAAAAGTAAATTGCCGTATAATATACCCTTACATAGAGGTATGTAGAAACATGGCTAGGCTAGCTTAGGCTATATCCAAGTTCCAATCATCTGAGTAGTGTTAATCAAATGGCTGCATTAATTAACAGAGCTTTACTGGCTGTAAAAAGCTCGAATAGGTACTGTTTTTACTACGCAATGAAAATAGTACAGTCAGCATCAATAATAATAGTACGTGACACCAGAGCAATGTAGGTAAAAAGTAACACACAAAATTAAATGGAATAAGGTTGTGTTGTCAACTTTTTGTTCATTTTGTGTGCCACGAACTATTTTGCTATTAATTACATAGGTAGGTACCTATTCGTTAAACTGTCTAGGGAAATATTTTTGGACCCTAAGAAATAAGTTACAACTCTCTAAAACTTTCGATATGTTGGTACAAACTTTCATCCCCTTTATTTTTTTGCAACAAAAACTGTTATTCTCCGAGTTCATTATTTTACGTAACTTATCAAAATTGAATTTCTACTGCGTTTGATATGCACCTTACTAACTATACAGTTATTCACTAATCGATCTCTGCGAATGATCACAAAGCATACCAACCAGTTGATATCTAAAGTTAACAGAGCTGGATTCCCTTTGCCATCGCGCAGCATTGTCAAGTTTCACAAGCGGGGTAAAAACTCAAGTGGCTGTGACTAGCTTTAATTCCTTTGCCATAGGGATTGAAATCGTCTAGTATGGCACAAGGTTGGAAAAAATATGCATCTAGATTATGTTATTTTTTGCTTCCTAGATTAGACCTGAACAAGCAGACCTAACTTTTAGTTACAAACATTCTAAGATAGATAAAGGCGTGTATAAAGATATGACAATCTTCTTTATACCTTCTCCACAAAAAACTACGAGTAAATCCTTAATGTATGAAATGGTTCCCCATTGCCTCATAGAATAGGCAACGACCAAAGTCGTATTGTGAATGTGATAGCTTATTGTCAATGCGAAATGTTAATGTTACTCTGACCTTGTATATTTCTTCATTGTTATGTTTTTATTTATTTAAAATTGTTGTTTCCACCAGTCACACTTGAGATATAATGTATGACGTGACGTGTCACGTGAGTTATAGTGGGACCTCCTAACACAGGTACTAATACTTAAAAGGAGACCCCAGCCACTTGTAACAAAATGTAAATTTTAAAGATACTGAATAATTATTTTTTCATTTTTAATTTTTCATGTATTTTATCCAAAGATTCTTACCGTTTCTATTGTTTGAAGTCCCATAAGCTGTTAGTCTATCCCTTGAGCCATTCTCATCGGCAGTCGCTGTGTCGCAGCGTGCACTGTCAAACAATAGCCTCAAAGGCCAGGCTTCTGTCCCGTGATTAGTGAAGGCTTAATCTAGATTCCAGTCTCCAAGCCACCCTTGTTCTGGGCCTTCCTTCTACAGGGAGGCAAGCAAACAATGTTTACACGTGGCAGCCTGTAACCCAGTTTCGTTATTAATCGTGCCACAACTCTCTAAGACTGATGTAACCCAGTTTGGTTATTATAATTGCTGTTCTGCATAGGCTGTATCAAGGAGTACTCCCTGCTATCTTTTCCGTATTTTCGTAGTGAGATGCTAATAGCAGAAAGAAAAAGAATCTTTGACTCGCTCGCTCACTAAGCAGATAATGATCCCTGTTGAATGGTGATATGAGATTAATTCAGAAGTTCCCTCGCTGACATAATAATGGTTCATATTATGTCACTCACTACATCAAAAAATACAAAGGTTGCCACAAAATAAAAAGATTACACTGCATCAAAATAAAATATTCCATTTCCTACTCTATTTTAAAATCAATCTCCAACGTGAATTCAGATTTATGGAAACGTAATAATAAAATGGTTCCGGACCGAGTGTCGGGATCGAGCTCCGAGAGAACCGCGCAATCTCTCGATTGGACGTCACGCGGACTGTAGATTTGATTGAGGCGAAGTGGGCTAGACACGAAGCGTTTCCCATTTCTACATACTTTGTAGCGTATTTGCTTATTTTATTTTTGATAGCGGCAATAGGTACGTACAATTTTTCGATTGGACGTCACGCGGACGCTGTAAATTTGATTGAGGTGGAGAGGGCTAGACACCAAACGTTTCTCATTTCTACATACTTTGTAGCTTATTTGCTCATTTTTTTTCTGATAGCGGCAGCACCATCTCTCGATTGGACGTCACGCGGACGCTGTAGTTTTGATTGAGGTGTAGCATGGGCTAGCTAGACATGAAACTTTTCTAATTTCTACATACTCTATAGCGTATTTACTTATTTAATTTGTTTCTGGTAACGAAAATAATAAAAAGACACGTTATCAATTCCTCTCGAATTAATCGCTAACGCTGTTACGCAGTTGAGTAGATTTAAGTTGAGGTTTCTCATAAGGTAGATAAGAGAAAATTTTGTTAGTTTGCCTTTTGTTCTTTAACGTTTTTTATTGTGTGTTAACTAACCCGACCACTCTGGCAAGAGTATAGCGACGAAGAAGAACAAATACTGTGCTAATACATAAAGTGACAGTGCATAGGTATGCTTTTTGGGAATGAAATGGTAAGATTCTTTGTTTCGAGAGAGTCCAAGATCATTCATGGTTGCTACGTTGCTAGCTTCCTTCACTGAAACTTACGTAGTTTGCCTTTCACGATAAGGTTTAGCGTAAAATTGTAGCGATATCATACAAAGCTATCTGCAAAAAGAATAGAAACGCCAAGGCTAACATCGAATGTACATCCGCCGACAAACAATGCGGCTGTTTACAAAGAGGCTGCGGCTGTATCAATACTCCACTCGGCTCGGTTCGTGATTAAATGCTTCGAACAGAGGGATAATTTAGAAATTAAACTTCAGCTTTTTAAATCATTTTTCATTGAATGTTCACTGGTTTTGCTTGAACGACCTGACTACAATAACTTTGCTTTTATAATTTCAGTCCTTTTAGATAAAATAACCTAATTTTAGTTGACGTTTTTCTTGTATTAGAGAATTTTGAGAATAAATCATGAATTACAATTAGTACTTACTACATTTTAATAATTAATTAACCTGCTGAGAACATTTGTGCTGAATTGTGCCATCATACACCTCTTTGAAACTGTAAATATTATTGTTAATGTTATTAAATAAATCCAAATTATAACTTTCGTTGTGCGGGCTTAACCATATTCCCGTCCCAGATTAGTTAAGACTAATGTATCTTAATTTAGCCGAACGAAAACACGGTTGTACGTGACTTGACTATTTCTGGCGATACTGGGAAACAAAGCAGTTAAATAACTTTACTTAATTAGAAGTTTAGACATAATGTTAATGATAAGCTTCAAGAACGCCCACCTCAAAGAGTTTGAGTATTAATGTCATTTTTATTTAAATTTGTAAGCTCATTTAGAACACTAAATAAACATAATTATGTTGATAGAGTGTATACAGGTGCACCCTACGAATAAGAGAGTTGATTGTACATACCCTACCCTACAATAATAGGTTATTGTGAATTGAGTAACAGGGACTTCTTACAGATTACCTTTTGATGGTAATAAGTTTTAAGGAACAACGAAAGTTTATAAAGCACACCATTGTTAAAGTTCTTAAAATAACCACCACTTTCAAATAACTTGCAGGCCTAGTGAAATAAAGTAGTGGTAGAAACTTAGTGGATTTAGTTGGCCTATCGGTATTTCTACTTCAGTGTGCTTACCATGAGTTTACTTATTTATGTGTGCTTGCTAGCAAATACGTCAAAAAATCCATGAAGATTTTAGTTCTTGAAAGTAGCCGCTATTGACACTGTATAATTTGTCATTTTTTACGCAGTCGCTAATGGGCACACCTGACGTAAATTCAAGGTAAACACACAGTTTTACCTATTGAATATGCTCCCAGGACCTTCATCCTGCTGACGATCTTCTCCCAGTGCATGGGGGAGGTGAAGATTCCGACCCTGGCTTGGAAGAAGGGTCGCTGCACCATCACTTGGTTCCCGCTCTTCAAGCTGTTCCCAGTAAGTCTTTTTATTCAAATTTAGTAAACAATTTTTCGTTACTTACTGAGGTTTTGCTCTAATTCAATTTGTTGTGTAACTGTTTTACGTAGGTTTTAGATTAGTTGATCAAATTATTGTTTAACAATAATAAGAACTTTCAAAAGTTAAAGAAAAATAACACTTACTTTCGCTAAGTTGTTAAATCTTTGTATAAAGCAGAGGAGATAGTTAAGCAAAAATATTTTCGTGAAAAATATGAAATTAAATATTGATAGAACTCAAAGTGAATCTTGAAAGTTTCTCGTGGAACATGCTAGAAAGTCTGAAGACTTTAGTGTACTTAGTCGGTAACTTTAGCCTGTTGAACCTTTGACATTGTGTAAAGTTTTAATTGCTGCGGGCTTTATGTTTTGATTAGACCCGGTGAGTGCACATTTTGATTGTATAAGTCTGGGTAAGCTTAGACGACGGATTTAAAGTGAATCCGTTGTCTTGTGGTAGTTAGAGCAAAGTATGTAACATCAAACATTGTGTTTGCTGTTTGTTACCATACCATGCAGTTTCTGTTTCAGTTCATGTACCAGTAATTAAAAAAAAAACGAATTCTAGATGCCTCAAATTTTGACTTTAGGGTCGGCCAAACTAATGCGTGCAGCCCGCGCAATGGCGATCAGTAGAAATTAGTAGGATCGCCATCGTGCACGTGCACCCGTTGGTTTGGTCGAACCTTTAGAGTATTACTGGGGCAGAGTGCCAAGGTCCAAAAATTATTTTTTTTCCCGCCAAGCCGCAAGCGGTTCGGTGAAAAGTTTTATGGTGACAGTTCAGAGGTTCCCACATATTTTATGTTAGTATTTCTTCACAGTACCTACTAATCGTCTTCAGGCACTGGGGTATTTCGGACGAAAAGATGTTGCGTAGTTTCCCGAACGCTGCCCAGCCGAGTTGGATTCGACGATTGACCTCCTTCTCGAAATTGGACCTACCTAGCTGGATCGTTTGTCCGAGGTAGACATACTTGTCAACAAGGTTCTGGAATGGAGGCCACGTACCGGAAAACGCAGCGTGGGACGTCCACCCACAAGGTGGACCAACGACCTGATAAAGGAAGCGGGAAGGCGCTGGATGCAGGCCGCTACCAACCGTGCGATGTGGAAGTCATTGGGGGAGGCCTATGTTCAGCAGTGGACGTCCTGTGGCTGAAATGATGATGATGATGATGACCTACTAATCCCATTCATAGTCGTATGGTTAATCCATTTGTCTCTGGAAAACTGGGGAGATTGCTGCAGTGAAGACTGATCTTGATGATGGTGATAACAATCTCTCCCAGGTGCTCCTAACAATAGTCATCATGTGGGCGATCTGTGGTATTCTGACGGCGACCGGCACGCTGCCTCCACACCACCCCGCCAGGACTGACGTCAAGATCAACATCATTGAGGACGCTCCATGGTTCCGCGTGCCTTACCCAGGTATGTTTTTATCTTTATTTTTACCCTAACGGAGAAGCTCTTGGCCTACATCTCACTTGATGAGTGATGATCAGGCTGAGGATAGAAGCAACCTTCACTCGGAATCTTCAACCACAGCCAGAGGAACTGGCTATATTACCTTATTATGCTGTATTTCTTGTTTTTTCCCAGTTCAACGTTCCCAGTTCTTGATGCTCAATATTTCATCCTAGTTGTGAAAGCAAATATTTTATATTTTTCTCTGAGATCTTATTCGTGCAATCACCTGACCAACCACAATAAAATATTTATTGGAACGGCGAAGAAATGTAGTACATTACATTTTCGTCTCTAACTCGCGAACACGCTTTTTTATTTTCAAGTTAGTTTGCTTTTCTTTTATTTTTACGTTTAGTTATTGTTTTTTCTGGCAAATAAAATATGAAGAAGCTCATAAAGCTGTTTTATCCTTACTAGGTATAGAGATTTTACAAAATTCTTCAAATCGGCTACACCTTTAGAGCTTAGTTTTATTGTAATCGCATGATGCCATATTTATTATTATGTAATATGCGACGTGCACTTCATTACAGCGCCCATTTATTGTCCCGAAGCAGTGGTAAGGTTAAAGTAATACACTAGGACGTGTAAAAGCGCTTTTAAGCCTTTTTTCACAAAAAAATTCATTGTGTGCAGGGCAATGGGGAGTGCCGACTGTGAGCGTAGCAGGAGTGCTTGGGATGCTTGCTGGAGTATTGGCCTGCACTGTGGAGTCCATCAGCTACTACCCCACCACCGCGAGGATGTGTGGTAAGAATGAATATAGAAATTAGCGCAAATGGGTGTTAGGAAAGGAAGACGTGGACGACTGAGTTGAGGGAACGAAAATGACGTTTTATTATTTGCGATGGTTTGTGAATATGAAAGGACCACAAAGGAGCCGATATGCTTCTTCTTCTTTTCGTGTCGGCAACAAACCTACACAGTGTCCAGCCCAAAACTCCGCCACAAGAGTGGCGTTGTCAGTAGCACTCATCAAATCCTCCTGAGTGCAGTTGCTTGGGCACTCAGGGCACGACATCAGGTGCTTCATCGACTGGGGAACAAAACCGCACCTGCACTCCATGTTTAAGCCATCCAAGAATCCCTACCTGACCAGATTGTCCTTACTACGGCCAATCTGCGTCCGAAGTCTATTTAAAGACTTCCAGGTAAGCCAGGGGAGCTAATATTTACGAAAACCTGTTAGCGTAGGCGCAGATCACCGACTTATAGTTGGCCGATAGTTGGGCCCGGCTGTTAATCAGTATGAAGATGTATGAAACATTACACCGATTTGGTGTCAGTCGATTCCTCGTACGAATTAGAATTGCACAGGACCGGTCGACGTGGAAATCCTTGGGGGAGACCTTTGTCCAGCAGTGGACCATTTGACTGAAAACTCTCAAAGAGACTCAAAACTGATTTTTTATTCTGATTTTTATGGCATTTTGGTAGCTGCACCACCGCCTCCACTCCATGCCATCAACCGAGGCCTGGGGACGGAAGGCCTGGGCACCATCTTGGCCGGACTTTGGGGCTCCGGTAATGGCACCAACACCTTCGGGGAGAACGTAGGCGCGATCGGCGTCACTAAGGTCTGTTAGATCATCATTCATTACCATCATCATCAGCGACGCACTTTGGCTGTCGGATATACGTATTCTTAGTCTCTAATATAAATGCCATTGCCAAACCATCAACATTTTTGGAGAGAACGCGATCGGCGTCACTAAAGCTTCAACCACACCAACGCGTGCAGATCGCCATCGCCGGTGCGATCACGGCGCGATCATAGGCCAGTGACAGGTCGCGCGACCCATGACAGTCCATTGGCCTATGATCGCGCCGGCGATGGCGATCTGCAAGCGTTCGTGTGGTTGAAGCTTTACACCTGTTAGATCATCATCAATGCATTCATTACTAAGCATCCGATGACTTTAGATATTACTTAGTATGTTTAATTTTCATGTCATATTTAGGAATTTATGCCTTTAGGCCCTAAAGGAGAGTAGTAATTTGAACCTATTAGCTATAATTTTTCACCACCAGGTAGGGTCTCGTCGCGTGGTGCAGTGGGCGGCGGGCCTGATGGTGCTACAAGGGGTGGTGGGGAAGCTAGGGGCGGTGTTCATCATCATCCCTCAGCCCATCATTGGGGGGCTGTTCTGCGTGATGTTCGGGATGATCGCTGCCTTTGGTGAGGAACTTTTGCCTTTTGTCCAGGCTAAATTACGAACACTGCTTTCGAAATCTACATTAACTCAGCTTTATCATTTTCATGGTATTTTTAAAGGTCAATAGCAATACTTTTAAAGCAACAGAATATTCAGCATTGCTACTAATTACTATCAACTCACCCTGAGTTCAAAGACGATCCTCCACTCAAAACACTAACCCCCTTACTAATAAAAACTTACACACTCGTTGAACATTAGTTTTAAGTGACATTTGGAAATGTCACTTCAAACCACTGTTCAACGAGTGAATAATTTTGATTAATAATAGGGTAAGTAGATACTCCTATACAATAAAAGACTAAAAAGAGGTTTTTAAATAAGAACTAGGTACATCCTTTTCTTTATTGTTTTCCAGCACACCCAATCGCAACACAGTACGATTCATTCATTAATCATCACTATTATTACCTTCTTCCTGCAGGTCTTTCAGCTCTCCAATACGTAGACCTGAACAGCTCCAGAAACCTGTACATCATCGGGTTTAGCCTGTTTTTCCCTCTGGTGCTGACTCGCTGGATGGCGGCCCACAGCGGCGCCATACAAACCGGCGTAGAAGCACTGGATGCTGTGCTGCAAGTGCTGCTCTCAACCTCTATCCTGGTGGGAGGAGTGGTCGGCTGTTTGATGGACAATTTGATACCAGGTCAGAATTTCAGGGACTGTTCCTTTAGCGACTCATCATCATCATCAGTTCCGCCTATTCTTCCCTCTGGTGCTCACGCGGTGGATGGCAGCCCACAGCGGCGCTATCCAAACAGGAGTGGAAGCACTGGATGCTGTACTGCAAGTGTTGCTATCCACCTCTATCTTAGTGGGTGGAGTGGTGGGATGCTTGATGGATAATTTGATACCAGGTTAGAATTTTAGGAACTGCTCCTTTATTGTGGTATCCTCATCATTTGGTTTAGCATGTTCTCCCTGCTGGTGCTGATACAAACAGTCGTGGAGGCATTGGATGCTGTGCTTCAAGTGCTGCTATCAACCTCTATCCTTGTGGGGAGTTGATACCAGGTTAGAATTTCAGGGACTGTTTCTTTAGCGCGTCATCGTCATCATCCGTTCAGCCTGTTGTTTCCTCTTGACTCGCTGGATGTCAGCTCATAGCGGTGCTATCCAAACCGGCGTAGAAGCACTGGAGGCTGTGCTGCAAGTGCTGCTCTCCACCTCTATCTTAGTTGGGGGAGTGGTGGGATGTCTCATGGATAATTTGATACCAGGTTAGAATTTTAGAAACTGCTCCTTTATTGTGGCATCCTCATCGTCAGTACAGCCTGTTCTTCCCTCTGGTGCTGACGCGATGGATGTAGGCCTACAGTGGAGCTATCCAAACCGGTGTAGAAGCACTGGATGCTGTACTGCAAGTGCTGCTATCCACCTCTATCTTAGTGGGCGGAGTGGTAGGATGCTTGATGGACAATTTGATACCAGGTTAGAATTTTAGGAACTGATCCTATATTGTGATATCCTCATCGTCAGTACAGCCTGTCCTTCCCTCTGGTACTCACGCGATGGATGTCGGCCCACATTGGAGCCATACATACCGGCGTGGAAGCTCTGGATGTTGTGCTTCAAGTGCTGCGTACCTCTATCCTGGTGAGAGGGGTGGTCGACTGTGTCATGGACAATGTGATACCAGGTTAGTTATTATAGGGTTTGACTCTTGTTTCTTTATCGTGTCATCCTCATGGTCAGTTCAACCTGTTCTTCCCTCTGTTGCTGACTCCACGGCTTAGAAGCACTGGACGCCGTGTAAAGCTCCACCTCGATTCTGCTGGGGGTGTCTTATGGACAATTTCTTACTAGGTTAGGATTATAGTTCTTCTAGACACCTCGTAAACTACAGACTTTTAGTAGTCCAATAGTTTGGTAGGGCAATTAATCAGTATGGACATGTATGGAAGTACGACACTGATTTAGTATCGGCCGATTCGTCGTCATACAAATTGGAAGCCGTCCAAAACTCTTGGTTGACTCGACTTAAAGTCTGCAGGCTGCGGGGTGTCTTATGGCATTGCTTGTAACAATAACAATGATGCCTATAAGAGTAATGTACCTATAGATTCAAGATTAATGCGTCTTAATGGTAGACAGATGACGCATTTATCCCCAAGTGAATTTACTTATGCAAGCATCCTTTGTGAATACGGGTGTTATCATTATGAAATTTCTTAGCGATTAGAGTCGCTACTTAAACTTTTCGATGGGTTCATCCAGTGTGTAAGTAGCTCAGTTGGAAGAGCAGTCGCCCGGCAAGCGAAAGGTCGTGGGTTCGATTCCCGCCTTAGGCAGTTAAATTTTTTCAAGTTGTTTATTTAATATTATTATGAGTAGTTAGAAAACTATTTTGTCACAGGAACTGACGAAGAACGCGGCCTAGCTGCGTGGGCGCAGCAGATGGCATTAGAAACTAGCGCGGAGCCTTCGCTAGAAGGGGACACGTACGACTTCCCCGTCGGAATGGGGCTGATACGCAGGTCAGTTACATTTCATTTTGTAATCTACGAAAATCATCATCATCATCATTTCAGCCGTAGGACGTCCACTGCTGAACATAGGCCTCCCCAATGATTTCCATGTTGATCTATTGATAGCGGCCTGCGTCCAGCGCCTTCCTGCTTGCCACCTTTATGATGTCGTCGGTCCACCTTGTTGGTGGACGTCCCACGCTGCGTTTTCCGGTACGTGGCCTCCACTCCAGAAGTCCAGAACCTTGCTGCCCCATCGGCCGTCAATTCTGCGTACTATGTGCCCTGCCCATTGCCACTTCAGCTTGCTAATCCGTCGGGCTATGTCAGCGACTTTAGTTCGTTTACGGATATCCTCATTTCTGATTCGATCAAAGAAACACCGAGCATAGCCCTCTCCATAGCACGCTGTGTAACTTGGAGCTTTTGTATAAGGCCTATAAGTCATCACTGGTAATACACATTGGTAATAGACTTTCGTCTTCAGGCACTGAGGTATTTTGGACGAAAAGATGTTGCATAGTTTCCTGAACGCCGCCCAGCCGTGTTGAAATCTACGAAAATAATTTCTAATATTCTTTAATTATAAATTCGTCCCCTTTTTAGGTGGAAATGGACCAGCTACCTTCCCTTCATGCCCACATACGAGGCGGGCAAGTTCACAGCGCTGTTTAAGAAGAAGGAGAGGTGATGCTTGAGAGCATTCAGCAGTTCAGACTCGTAATTCTTGCTGCCAAGCTGGAACAATCAGTGATAAATTGATAATATTAGAAAATAAAGAAAAAAAATTCTTACTTGTTTTACTTACGAAATTAAAAAAAAACATGTCCAATTAAAACTGTAATTTTTACACGATTTGATTTCGGGTCACATTTTAGATTAGGCACCCTTTTACTTTATAATCTAGTAGCACATTCAACAGGTACAACATCAATCATCAATTAATCTTCAAAAGACCAACGACTACCCGCCAAAAGCTATGCAAAATGTCAGCGAACAAGGATTTCCGGGTTCACAAATTGATTCGGTAACAAAAAGTGGGCACTATGATAACGCGTGACGTTATATGGGACCGTTCGTAAAAGTGCCACAGTGGGGAAAGTTATCAGAAGGATTGATTAAAGGAGAAAGAAAAATAAATACTAAACTAGAATACAACATAGGTAGGTACCGATACTTTTAAGGGTCAAATGGAGGCTAATAATTTGGTAAAAAAGATTAAAAAATCGGCCATTCATAAACTGATGAAAACTATCTATGAAAACACTTGTCCGTCGACTCGGTTGTCCATTAATCGATTTCAAACTCCTCACTCTTTCCTTATTCAAAAATAGCTTTTTAACTGTGGATGTTGTATAGCCAACCGCATATCGAGATGAAAACTGTAGCATCTTATAGGTTTTATTTTACAAAAATGTATGGTCTCTAATGTACTATCGGCTGTACTTACTGTACGCACGGCACACTATGACCTATCCACGTCCCCGGGGACCTGTTCAAGCGAGATAGGTGGAATGGATGTCGTACGAGGAAGTAAGGAGATTAGGGTACTACGTGGTATTCTGGAGTACCTACCTACTACTTACTACTGAAAGTTATTTCAAACGCCGTTCCCCTTTTATGCCCTTTCAGAAGGTAAGTCTTAGTTTATGTCTTTATATTAATTTGGTTAATGTGAAATTGTTATTATGTCTGTCCATTTTAGATTGAAAACAGGAGGTTAGATGATATGTTATGAAATTCCAATTTAACAGTCTTATAAATAACCATAAAAGTTAAGGCTTAAGCGTAACTACCTGTCTCTTTAAGAAGAGACACTGGATCCTTCTATAGACACATTTTTGAGGTAAAAAAACCTTTCCTTTAATGAAATGAAGTTTCTAGGCTAGACTAGGCTTTCAAATGGTACCAATATTGGTGGGAATTGGGGATGCATACGTTTGAAAGTGCTTGTCGTAGGAGGTGCGATTTATTTGACGCCAAGTGTAGTTAGGTACATTTATTAAAGCAATTTTGGTAAAACAAGTTCCAACTTTTGGAATTGTCTTGTCATCTCCTCCCGGTCTAGGTCTCATAAATCCATGTCTAGACTAGATGATATCCAAAATGCATTAATACAAAATGTTCTGCGGCATAACGTATTCTCCCAAACAAACGAAACGAAGTCATTAATATGGAATGGATAATGTCTTGACTAAATAGAATTTTATATTATTTGGCTTATGTCATTTTATGTTTAAACTAGGCATTTCCCGTGGCTTTGCTTGCACATTTTAATTTGTAACTTGTAGAGCTGTTTGTCGAGCGGTTTTCATTTTTTCAAAATAGAGTAAATAACGTTATTTCTATTTAAATTCCAAATAAGTATATTTATAATTTAGTTCCAATAGTACGAGTACAAGAATATGAGGTTGTAGGAGATTTGGGATAGGATTGGGATGGGATACCTTCGATTTCTTTCACTTCACAAATACACTTGAATTTTTATGGGTTGGTTTTAGGTGATATTTGAGTTGGTTTATTTAGAGTATTTATTTCGTATATTAACGCCCAGATAGGTAGGCGATGCGGCGCGTTGCAATGCGAGAGCGAGACTGAAGGTGGAAGGGAGAGGAAGGGAAAGGACTGTCAGAGTGAGTGATAGAGAATAGTGTGACATGAGTTTGAATTGAGGTTTTAATACTGGCGCGTACAAATACTGTTACATAAGTAACATAAACAATGAGAATTGAGAAAAAATGCGGCGCCATTAGTTTTTTTTTGCAAAAACCCCTCGTCCTTCACCAAGATCCTAAGGTTGCGTCGGGACCTAAATCGCTAAACCAGCACCAGATAACTTGAGCTGTAGCTTATAAAGTCATACGATAGAGAGTAAAACCCATACGACATAAACGTGATTTTTACCTTTACTTAATTTAAAATCAAGTAAGTATGACATAAAATCATATTGCAGAGAAAATGAGCCAAGACGTTTGAAGCTATTTTTAGGTGCACTCAGGGAAGATTGGGCATTACCATTTTTTGATGCGATATCGTCCTTTAGGTATTGAAGAAATTGTGTCATTGAACTAATAAATTCAATTTAGGATATGATGAACATGTCAAGTTCTTTGAGATTGGATAACTCGGTTAATTTTGTGCGGCGAGGGGTCTTTTTATTTTACTTTTCATGCTACTGTCGTCTCGATTACGCGGTCCTAATTTATATGTGACTGGAATAATTACATTTAGGAATACTTTAATCGGCTGCCTTGTTGTTTCTTTACACGTGCAAACAATAACAAGAATATATTACAGTGTCGAGGACATCAGACGCGGTGCAATCTCGTCAGTAAACAGGGCATTGCAGAACTCCAGCGTGTGGCACGTGGCAGTAGTGATGGGTAAAAAGTAGTTCGGCCAGAGCCGAAGACGAATGTGTAAGGGCCAGCGTTGCCAGACGTCCCGATTTTGGCGGGACGTCCCGATTTTTTAATCAAATTTAAATGTCCCGCGCGGGAGTGGCTCGGTCCCGCTTTTCGGAGAGAGACACTCACTTCACCAGACTATTGTTTGAAACGCCATATTATTCTAAAGAATAAAACTTTTTAATTTTTTTTCTTTTTTTATTCTAAAGATGAATTTAACGATAGAGTAAATCTGATTTAAAACATTATTTTTTTGTTAAAATACATTTTTTATGGCTAATCTATTGTCACGTAAACGTAATTTTAAGTCAAATAAAAAGATAAATATTTGAAAACCTTTGATTATATACGTTTTTTTTACTATGTCCCGCTTCTGACGGAAGAATCCCGCTATTTTTACTCAAAAAGTACCAAAGTCCCGACTTGGCGAAAAAAAAAAACTGGCAACGCTGGTAAGGGCACAAGTTCTGATACGGTGCCAACTGGAAAGTAAACACGGTGTCCCTGTTGCCCTTCAGGTTTTTGATGGCACGTACACGCAGCAGTAACTAGGATTAGGTACGGTACATGTTAAAAAATAGGCGGCCAAATACAAATCCCCAAGATGTCAATGTCACTGCTTCTATGGTTCATTCTTCTTGTTTATTGCCGCCTCATACCATCAAAGTATTTGACAGACAAGCTTGGAAAACACGTTCAGAATAATTAATAGGTGTAGTAGTTTACCTATAGTATTTTAACTGTATTGTATCTGTGATGAATTTAAGATATAGGAACGTGTGAAACAGAAAAAATATCAATAATGTAATCTAAATAAAGAATGAAGTCCTACTTATGATTACTGAGTGTTACATCATCTGCAGGACTGGTGATCCAGCTACATAATCTAAAAAAACGTTCGGCATCGGCCCTCCACCAAGATCCAAGACCCATCACTGAAAATTGCCGCCTTTCGTTCGATCTGTCCTCCCAGGACAAACTTTACCGCGGGAATAAATATAAAACAAATCTCATCGGGGAACTTGGGTTCTAAATAAATTCTTTCGGAATAGAATGCAACGCCAACTTTATAAGTTATTCGATAGCTTATATCCTAGTCTGGCCACGACAAAATGTACTACCCAAAGTTTTCTTTTTACTTACTAATTTAAGTATGTACTATATTTCAAGTTTGGATAAGTTTTCTTGTCAAGTTTTCTACACAAAATTTTGGCGCTAAAATAGTGGTTTAATTTTATTTTTTCACTTTTTTTTATTAATATTTCCAGGACACTGTAAAGAAAGAAAGAAAGAAAGAAAAAAAAACATTTATTTGGTACTGTACAATCATTATCATCATCACTTCAGCCACAGAACGTCCACTGCTGAGCATAGGCCTCCCCCAATAACTTCCAGCACTTTTGGTAGCGGCTTGCATCCAGCGTAGAGGTGGGCGCCGATATACATTTGGCCGGCGGCGGCGCGCCGACTTTTTGACCTCGGCGGCGGCGGCGTCGGCGGCGTGACCTTGTTTGACCTTTGTTCATTGGGTTTTTTTTTAATCTGCTTTTATAANCTCATGCGTATCGTAATAATGAGCATAACGTTATCTCCTAATGATAAGTCTTTGTAGTCACCGAATGAAGTTAAATGTTGATCACACTTGAAGTTAAAAACCCACTTTCGTAACGGAAAGCAACCTGATTTTAAAACGTCCNAAAAAAAAGTTCTTCTGCGTTCGAAACACAAATAAGTACAGTATAGGAGAGGAATAAATTGCAAATAGTTGGTACAGTATCAGTATCGGCGCGCCGGCAGCTGGTCGTCGGCGGCGGCGGCGTGAAAAAATTCGCGGCGGCGGCGGCGCGCCGGCGTGGCGCCCACCTCTAATCCAGCGCCTTCCTGCTGTCTTTATCAGATCGTCGGTCCAGTTTGTGGGTGTGTGTTTATACAAATGAATTAATAAGGAAAACAATTTGAATGACATCTAGGTATACATAATTGGACCAATTAACCTAAAATCTTCATTACAAAGGGTGACCTCATTGCAAATACAATGGATCAACGACTCCATCTGTTAATACGTTTGTTGATTTGTTCCACAATGAGCGACAATTTACATTTCAGTGGAAAATGCAGTGATTTCAAGGGTCGCTTTGTATTCCGCGGCGGTAGACAGAAACAGAGTAAACGGCGGATCCAAGGAATCTTGCGATGGGGTACCGCTGTGAAGGGTTGAGCGTGGAGCTGAATAATATACGAGTTCTGCGTATTCAAATTTGTTTTCAGGTGTAAATTACATAATATTTTTAAACAGCTTTATTTCTAAGCTGGTGTCATTTAAAAGTGAAACTTAAACTAGCTGTTCTTATTCCACATCATGCTGATATAGAAAACTTAGCGCAAAACTCAATATGACTGAAATAATTCGGATTTCATTTTACTTTCTATCTGGCTGAATTCACAATTACCTATTCAGATTATTTGTACCTACTTATTTTAAAACTAGAACCTGGATGATTAAGATTTGAGTTATTCCATAAGAAAAACGTATAGAAGACGTAACGTATTCAACTTGGTGTACTTATTGACGATAACCAAATGAAACTTTATTACGTGCGTCATAATGTAGCACCAATAAGAATAAACGTCAAGAATTTTGTTTAAAAAAGAAGTCACATGTCCCACAAGGATTGGCGACAGGTGAGCTAATTACCGTTTCGGCAGCCTTTATCCCTGTCAATCAAGAATTTATGAATAAAACACATTTTGCTGTTCTCTTCTTTCCTACTTTGACTATACAAATAAAGCAATTAAATATTTTCATATTGCTTCATTCAATGAAACACACCCACGCAGCTCTTTCATCGAATTCTGAGAAGTCACATGACTAAGCGAAGGTAATCTAACACATTTTTAAGGGTAGAGCTTTTCGTCACTCGCTTAACATTATCAAAACCTATTCAATTACATGAAATTAATTAATTGGTATCCTAATTTCGATTCAGTTATCGCTATCCGAGGTGTTAAGTTACAAAATAGAATAGATGAATGCGACTCTGCCATAGGTACCTAAATAGTACTAAAAACATTATCTACCAGCCTGTTTCTTTGATGAGATATAATATTAATTATGTTCTGTGATGATATTCCTTTTTACCCGCTAAAAGCTGCCCAGTCTCCACTATCCAGTTATAGTAGCGATCGCTTCACGAAGCCACACAAAGCAAGTTAATAATATTGTGTAAAAAATCTAGCGAAGCGATTACAGAATTTCATATGTTGCAGGAATGTTATTTTGTCTTGAAGGAAAACTTGTATCTGTCACGCGAATGTTTCCTTGTTGTCTACGGAAGTTTTGTCCCAGCCCAGACAAAAGACCCTAGGCTCCTTGGTGTTCCAGGCGTCCCGTTTAGCCCTGGAGGTGTCCCAGCGGGTCCTGCGCGGGTCCCGTCCCAGGCTAGGCGGTGCGCACGCAAGCTAACCTGTTGTGCAGGACTATCGACCGCCCGGGTCGGCGCGGGGTTGCCAGCTGTATGCAGCTCCAAAGGATACGGGAAATTAGTTTTGTTGGAGGATTTATTGGCTGCAACAGCCTAAGTATAAAAATTCAAAAACCCAAAACGCTACTTATTTTGTAAGTAGTAATGTAAAGTTAATTGTGCATCAAAGGAGTCTTACCTTAACATGAGCTAAAGACGCAATGCTGAACTTCAGCTTCAGCAAAATATTTTAGACCCTCAACCTACTTTCAGCAGCTGAAGGTAGATTGAGGGTCTGAAATATTTTAAGCTTTGCCGTAAAAATATTATCAAAATATAAAATATCTATAAAATGAAATGTCTACTACTAGTGATAGCACTATTTCCAAACTTCACCCCAAATTGCGCCATATCCAAGTCACGTTCCCTCCACCCCGTGAATGATCCCGGTGGTAAGCCCGGCCGAGGCTGGCAACACCTTAGCTCGGGCGCGGCAGTCGCGCTCTAGCCGCCCTGGAGCCCGCGCGTGTTGTGTGTGTGTGCGAAATGTTGCCGGCAACAAGCTGGCCGCAGTGAGACAACAGCTTCAGGTATGAGAGAAAAAATATTCTTTTGAATTTTAAATTTCGAATTGTAATTTCTTTTGTTTTGTATTTTTTAATTCAATAGTAACAAGCGATTTTCGTTTCCTTTTGTGCTGTTATTTTGCAAAAAGGTTGAGTGTGATTTGAATTTGGAATGCATGTTATTTAGATGCGCTTTGTTTTATGTGATTTTATAACAACAAAAATGTTTTATTTCTCGATTTATAAACGAAGTTTCATCATTTTATTTATAAAACGGCCATATTTTTATAAATGCTACAGTTAGGCGAGTTCGCTAAAATCATGAAATATCGTAATTATGTTCTGTAACATTTAGTTTAAGTTACATAAACTGAGATTTGCGTATTCGGCATCAATCTCACGAATTTAGAACTACCGTCGTGTTTTCAGTATTTCCAACACTAAAACAAAATACCGATCAATGTTTGTTATTGCGCAGAACGCCCGAAACTTGCGGCAGTTTTGTTTTTATTGAATTAATCTCTTTAATAATTGGTTTAGAGGCGTTTTGTAACGCATTTATTGGCTTCTAATTGATTAGTCTGTGATCGGATTAAATGTTTGGCCATTTCTTTCTATGATTTAGTTACGTATTGCATCATGAAAATTGAAAGGTCATAGGTAAGTAGATATTTTTTAATGTCAATAAATAACAATGATGGTTAAAATGGAAGGTTTTCAACAAATAAATTCGGGTTTGGCTTGCGAAAGGTCAAGGGTCACGCCATTTTGCATTGTTTGTTTTCGTTAGCGAGTTCGGGAAGGCTTTTGTTTGGAACCGAATTTAATCGATAATAGGAGATTATAAAGAAGATAAAATATATCATACAACGTCCGATAGTAGGTATGTATAATTGTTATAATTAGGTAGTTTTTAAAAATAATTTGGTATTGTGATTGGGGCGATTTAACTTTCCTTCCGAAACATATTCCTCTTTTTTGTTCAACAAAAACCGATTGTTTTTTAACTGACAATGCACAGTGTAGACACACCTCCCTCCGACCTCCTTTATTGATGTCGTTAAGGGTTGAAATACGTAGTAAACCGTCGAGATTTGCGACGCAAATAAACAAAGGGCCTACCTACCTACTAATCGGGGTAAATGCAATTCTTTGTGTTATGGTAACAGGCTGGGTTGTACCATCTTCTTTTACTTTAACAAACGTCAAAAGTCTGTCAAACTCCATACAAAAAACACCGGTTATGGTTATAGATGGTTAAAATAAGATGGTGCCTTAAGGCAATAAGTGAGAATGACAACAGTCGTTATCACGCTTTGTTTAGGTTTGTTTAACGTATCATGGAGATGAAAGTATTTGAAATAGAACTTTTATATGATTCTGTCTACTTACTCTTATTACTGGTTAGGTGGGTTTTACAATTAGTAGAGTCATTCGGGTCAAGAGCACGCACTTTTTTTTTGATGGCCTCCCAGACCTATAAAGAATTGTATAATTGGCATGTTATGATATTAAATCTGTAGAATATTTAATAAATTTTCACTATTTAAGAAAAAAATTCATCCAGATTAATTAGTTTTAGCCCTACATAGGCTTAACTGAAAACTTTTCCAATGCGTACTCTTGACCCGATGTGTGGGTAAAATTACGCAAGTCTTAGGGTAAAGTTACGCACGCGGGGTAAACGTACGCATTCAGATTTCTAGGAGAATACAATTAAGATTGGCAATAATCAATATTTATTTAATCTTGTAAATAACATTTTAAGAACTTTAACATTAAAAAAATTAGAACTCTTTGTATTATACAGGNGAAAGCAAAAGACTGGCAAAGTAGATTAGGTACAAGTGTGCGTTACGATAATTGGAATTACAAAACTTGTACTCAAAATCGTGATAACGTGTAAAACAATATCGATTGTCTATGTTATTAACTACTGTTCCTTTTCGTTTTCTAATTTGTTAAGAATGTATCGTATATTATTTTGCCATAGTTTTTTTAATGGCTTGAAATTTATTGAAATCCAATTTAGTAACCATGTGGTACAAATTATCGAACCGGTTGGCTAAATTGGACCGAAGCTCTGAACTCGTACTTTGTTGATTTGTGCTAAATATACAACAATCATGTTAATTAATACTTATGAAATAGTAAGTTGAATAATGTATCTTTTATTATATACCATGGACATTAGCAAAAACAAAAGAAAACTATGTGTAAAATGGGATTGAAAAAAACTGGTCCAAATTAGCGGACTCTCCCTTATCAGAATATCTTAAGCTTTCTGATTAAGTACTTTTGTCAAACTAAACTTATATGTAGGCCAATTAGGTAAGTACTCTTGGTGATAATTTAGTAAGCCCTGGGACCTTGGATTTACTCTGAGTTATCTAACAAATATCCACCATCATATCAAGCTAATACACTACTAATCCAAATACAATCCCATATCACAGGGGGTCCACTTCAGAAGGCCATAGATATGGCGAGATAGTCACTAAAAGGGGATTATAGTATCTGAAATAGGAGGTTTTACGAGTATAGTTTGTTATAAAAAGAGAGAGTAGGTAGGTAGGTATAAGAACATCAGAGGAGTGCGGCATGATTACACAGAACCGACCTGGTAAACAAAGTTTTGCTGATAGAACTGTAAGTAAATTGTAAACTGTGCCTGCTATTGTGTATTTGCTGAATAAAACTGGGAAGCTTTAATTATTGCGAGCTAATTAGCGTTTGGGTAACATTATTATGGTTTGGTTTGGTATTCTGTGAATGAGAATCGAATCATACAATGTTAATTTGACCCACATTCTAAGGTAAATTGAGCTGATATTTTGAAAAAGATTGAAGTCTAATAAGATAGCGTCTAGTTGTTGGACAACAATTCGCTTTTTCATAAATTATTTCATTGATTTGGGTAGTGAACATTTCATATCTACATGATCGAATGATTTTACTAACGTTAGAAACTTGGTGATTTTTTAAAAATATTGTAGGTGCTAGGTGTCGATATGATAGATTCTTCAGTATCTTCTGAAATATTGCGTTTCAGGTGCTAGTTTAGTTCTATCTGACTCATAACTTGTCCACTCATGTCGGTAGTCAGATATCAGAACATGTCCGGTTTCACGCAATGATGACCTGATAGTAATCTATACGGATACGGATATTGGAAAACGATTACTTTGACGGTGAACTAGATAAGTAGACTAATATTTACAAATAAAAATATGTCCAAACAACGCGACATGGTGTCCAGAATGCTGGCTGCATTTCTATTTCATACTTTGAGGGTCATATTTTACTTGTTAGGTTTCAGCAAAAGATACCTACCATTTTTTAGTTAGAACTGATTTATTTTATGTAAAGTTAGTGTAATAACAAAAAATTTTGTTGATGCCAATGAATGAATAAATAACTAAGAAAATACACTCTGAAAATTAGTATTACTATTTCAACATAATTTGTAAACAAAAATTAATCAAACATAAAATTAATTATTTGGATAAAACATGAATAAAAAGTTCGTTAATAAGACTAAGTTTCCGATCTCCTAATTGATAGATTATAAAGATTTTCTTCTCCATTGTTTACATTGAAACAGTTCGAGCAGTCAAAGGGATGAAACTAGAGGGTTAGACGTATAATACTTTGTTCTCCGTTCCTCTTTTGGGCAATTTTCTCTGTTCGATGTACTCAAAGCTCTTCCCATGAATAATCTAGCTTTATCTATGGTTGCCCGTAGTCTATGCCCTTTGCAAAGGTCGGCGGGAGGCGACATCTTTGTTGTGAATATTGATTGATGCGTTTACTGGAGATAGTTTTTGTCTTGTTTATTTTGAATGTAGGATTCTTACAATAAAATGAAGCTGACGTTTACAATGAATAATATATCCATGATGTAGGTTAGGTAGGTTCTTGTTTTTAACATGCAATGTATTGGCTTATGATGTTTTGAAACATCTAAAGCGAATTATTTTCTTCTCTGCGTCCTTCACGGGATTCGAATCCGCATTCTCGTGTATTCTAGTACCTATTGTATTCCGATTCGCGAATTAACAAGTCAGAGAGCTGTCTATTATTTACCAATGACGTGTGTACAATGATTTGAGTGACCTTTTTGTCTAATTCAATCATAAAAACTTCTAGTACTTTGACATCAAAAAAAGCCGTTAAGATCGGTGTCAATCTACCCGACTCCTGTTTGTGTACAAAAGCCCACCGCTGGGCAAAGACCGCGTCCAACTCGATCAGTTCGTGACGCATGAACTATTTTGGCGGACTGTTTAAACGATCAGGAATAGAAACATTATAAACATTGAAGTACTAAACGGGCGGTAGACGTGAAGACATACTTTTATTACGCCGAATGACACACATACAGACAGTTTTCAACTAACATCAAAGATACGTAAACAACGGTTTGAAATCGCGTTTGCTTTTTGTAGCAATATGCAGTGGTTTTTATGAAATGAATACTTTGTTTCGTTTCGATCAAATAACACTTATGAACGTTAATTTCGTGTTCACAGTTAATCTATAGGTTTTGTATTGTACCAAACAACCTTGTAGCAAGGTTCTGAAGTGGAGGCCTTGTATCGGAAAGCGCAGCGTAGGACGTCCACTCACAAGGTGGACCGACGACCTCATAAAGAAGCAGGCCGCAACCAACCGGCCATTGTGGAAATCATTGGGGGAGGCCTATGTTCAGCAGTGGACGTCCTATGGCTGAAATGATGATGATGATGATGATGATGAAACAACCTTTTCATAATTTATAAGCCCATAAGGAGTTCTTTGCATGTCTTCTTGTCTTTTGGGTCCTAAAAGTAGGTACTATCTTTACTTATAACACTATGTTTTCTACCTACAATAAAATACAATTATATTGTGACAAAATAAATCAAATTAATCGCGCCACTTCTAATAACAATAAAATAAATACCCAAGCTGACCCAAGCTCGTTCAAGTCGGCTACGGCGTAGTCGGCCGCTACGATGCGCGCCGCGCGTAGTCTCCGTACC